CAACATCGAAATGGCAGTGAAATGCGTGATCACGATTCGAAGCAAGGGTGAGAGAATTCATGGCAGAGATCTCAAGCATGGGCAGACTCCAACACAAGAATCTGGTCCAAATGCGAGGATGGTGCAGGAAAGGCAACGAGCTCATGCTGGTTTACGATTACATGCCCAATGGCAGTCTAAACCGTTGGATTTTCGACAAACCCAAAAAGCTTCTTGGCTGGAAGCACCGCCTCAAGGTCTTAGCTGATGTAGCCGAAGGGTTAAACTACCTCCACCATGGATGGGAACAAGTAGTGGTTCACAGAGACATCAAGTCCAGCAACATTTTATTAGATTCCGAAATGAGAGGAAGACTCGGAGATTTTGGACTCGCCAAATTGTACCAACACGGACAAGTACCCAACACCACCCGAGTGGTGGGAACTTTAGGTTACCTAGCGCCAGAGTTGGCTTCGGTATCAGCGCCGACGGCGGCGAGCGATGTTTACAGCTTCGGAGTGGTGGTGTTGGAGGTGGTCTGTGGACGGCGGCCGATAGATGTGTCGGCCGAGGATGAGGACGAGGAGGCGGTGCTAATAGATTGGGTTAGAGAACTTTACGGGAAGGGAAGATTGGTGGAGGCGGCGGATGCGAGAATAAAGGAGGAGTACAAAGCGGAGGAGGTGGAGACGGTGATGAAGTTGGGTTTGGCTTGTTGCCACCCAGATCCCCAGAGAAGACCCACCATGAAGGAAGTGGTTGCGATCCTGCTCGGGGAAGATGCCGCGGGTACCCCGGCTGAGTTGTTGAATGAATTGGCATTCGCCGGCGGCAAGTCTGAACAGTGAAGTAGGGGAAGACGATTTTTCTTTTGACTTTAGTTTTTAAAAATTCTTTTTTAAAAAAAAAAAAAAAACTTGACAAGTAATCATCTGTTTGAATTCTTACAGTCCATATGTAATTAATTATAAGTTTGAAATATAATTATTTTTAAAAGTGATTAATATCTCAATTTAGATATGTAAACCATGAATGTAATAAGAAAGTCAAAACAAGAACAAGTGGCTTTTGCTTTCAAACCAAGGGAGTCAAAATTGTGGAACGTGGAAAAGAAACTGAGGCAAAATGATGATGATGATACTAGAATAATCAAAGGCTTGTGGGGGAGAATATGACTCTTCTTTCCCTATTTAACGTTATGTGAAATGGATTAGTTGCTACTAACTTGGCCGTCTTGCAATATAAAAATCCTCTTCTTTTAAAAATATATTGTAAAGCAGAGATTTTTATTGTTTCACCAATTAAATTAATGGGTCAATGTTTCAGGTTTATTTGGTAGCTAGTATTGATTCATTCTTATCACCATGATCCCTTACCCCTAGTTTATGATTCAACCATTTGATTTTTAACTTCAGGTTCCCTATAGAGAAAAAATTAAAACACAAAAGTTATGCAATAACACTCTGTGCGTGTGTGTGTTACACTCCCTTAATTCCTCCATTACAACAATCCTGATTATTAATCCGTATGTCTAAAACATTATATACTACTTGGACAACATTAGCAAGAAAAACTCTTCTCTTATAATTTAACTAGGATGATCAAAATGAAGCTAGATTGTGAAGTTGAGGGAATGGAAACCCAAGTATTGTTTCTCCAGACTTGGACATTTCTGCTGGCAAATCAATGCTATCGACTGCTTCATTGATTCCGGTCCACACACCACGACTCCGACATTACACCCTCTCCCACTTTTGTTTACAAATGCATCCAATATCTCTGTTTCATTCACCACCATCAGTCAAAATTCATCATTCTTTCAAAATTAGCCTCATTAAAGAATTTAAATAGAAAAATAATTCAGACATCAATACCTTCAACAAAATTAGGCCTTCTTCCAAAATGTATTTCATGTTCCTCAACACTATTCTTCCACTTCTCTTCACCGGATTTACCTTGTTTCTGGGTTACCCGCATTATCCCTTTGTTAAGCCTTCTCCATCTCAAAACAATTGCCACCAATGTGCTGCAACATATAGCAATGATGAATGAAGATATTATAACTACATCAGCAATCCAAGAGGGACTTTTCCGCTTAACATCCTTCTTTCCACTAGGAATCAACATGCGATTCAAACAAATCAGAATCCCAAGGAAAACAATGGACGAAATTCCAATTAAGGCAGCCATCCACGGTAAACCTTCTACTCCATGCACCGCATAACTTGAACCATCCGTTTCCAAGTTGACCATTTGTATTTGAGACAATGACTTCTCTAGTAGCTCCTCTATTGTCGAAGTAGACTGCTTTTCTTGGGTCACAAAAACTTTTAGTTTAAGATACAACTTCTCAGATTCCTGTTTAAGGAGTAGAGAGGAGACTGAGTTCAACAGACAAATTTCTTGGGATGACCTTACCACATAAATAAGCTCTACTCTTGTAGGGAGTATACATCTATTGCTGCTCTTGGGAGAAGCAATTTCCAGCAAAATGCTCAGAAATGGCGTTATCCCAATTCCCCCTGCTACCAAAACTAAACTATCATATCTGCACAGATGTTTAATCAATATATTAGAACTGAGGCAGAGAAGTTATGATATTATGATATTTGCAATTAACAACTGAAGAGTCTCTGCAGAAAAAACTAACAGCTTTTCAGGGTACCTTAGAAAATTCAGTGAGGAAGGTCCATAAGGACCTTCGATTGCGATAGGCATGCACTTCACCTGATCAGCATCTAACTTAGCCTGTATCATGTTATAGAGAGAGCTTGTCCACCGTCCTTCACATTTAATTAGAACAGACATCGTTTGACTGTCAACAACTGAGCTAGAACTTATGCTGAAGGAATGCCACTGGAATTTGGATATGCTTGGTACCTTCATAAATATTATGCTTGATGGAGTATATTTCAGACCTGCAATTAGTAGGAGAACCTCCTCATAAGCAACTTTTTGAAACTTCTGTTCAGAATACTTTGGCAGCAGAAATGAACAGATATTTACTTGAATCCTTAGGAAGAATAAGCTCAATAGCTTTACACGGAAATATTCTTGCTGCAAGAACACATGTTCCTGGCCTTGACTGTATGATTCGAAGTAGCTTGTCGAGGCCAAAGAGAAATATCCCAGGGAAGACCCAGTAGAAATGTCGATCTCCAGCATGAAGCAAGAAGAATGTCAGGAAGATTATGTACAAATGGTGTGTGTAGTAGAAGATTTCAAACTTTTTCCTTCTTATCTGGGGAAGGGATGTGATCCACATTACTAATCCTGAAACAAGAGCAATCTCCCCAGCAAGGTATATCCGGCCTGTTTTCTGCCATTTCCATATCTGTTGGACAAGAATAATATCAGCAAGGTATATCTTAAGGAATTAAATATTCATTAAAAAAATCAAATGATTTAAAAGGAGTAACTATAACCTCATCTTGAATGTGGTGGCTTATGCCCCAGACAAACAAGGTGCTTGCACCATGAAAAGTGGCAAAGAATATCATTGCACTTCCAAGCCATATATGGTACCTTACAGATGATTCAAACTGGATGCCAACTAACTGAAACACAGCCAGTCCCCTTAAGATTGGCAGAAGTAGCAAAGCCAGGCAAGCCTCTGCTAACAAACCAAACCGGGTTGCCACCCTCAGATACTTCAGCTGCCATCTAAAACACAGTTACAGCACAAATAATGAATGTACAAGGCATTTCCTGAATTGTCCATACTTTTCATGTAGGATCAACAGAACTCACAAATTCAATTTCATTGATTTGATTGGCATCAACTTCTCAAAATCATTGGAGATGCGGGCATAAAAGGTCCATGCTAGAAAGACAAGAATAGAAACAATTGCAAGAATCTCAAGGCTGGATAGAATACCAACAAAACTGTTTACAACCACAGGATTTGAGAAAGCAGTAGCTGAACTCCTTGCTTGTCTGTCATGCATATTAAGCAGAATAGAAGTTTAATCAGAAGTGTCCTGGACATTATGACCTAATATGTGGCAAATATATGTTACCTCCTCCTTGTCTCCACAGGCTGCAAGCTCAAGTAGAAAAGTCCGGTGATAGCCAGAGCAATTCCAGGAAATGCATAAACTGCAAAGTTTAGACCTATAGAACATTCACCACTGTGAGAGTTTATAGCAATATAAACAGGTGCAGTTACGCCATAGTAGATAGTAGCAGGCAAATCAAGGGAAGAGTTTTACAGGAGGGTATCATTCATAAAAGCATGATGTGAACAGTTTTAGGATGTTTACCATAATAACCAAAAATTGTGGAACTTGCTCTATCTTCAGCTCCATGCCATTTTCGTATCCAAAGATTTGTGGGCTTTAATAGCCAGAGTGAAACCCAACCAGCACATATCAAGATAATAAACGCTTTGAGAAGAACTCGTAGAGTTGTTTTTGCCATGTTTGTAACTATTTGCATGATAGAGTTAGTTTTCTGAGTTCACTTAGATCTGTATATAAAGAGTTTTGAAGGAATCTACAAGAAGAAGAAGAAGAAGAAGAAGAAGAACCGGTTGTTAGCCCCACCATCTAAGGAATGCCTATCTTTGCATAGCCACTTTATAGTTAGTGATGAAATATCAGGCTTTTAAAGTCTGATCTGTAATATCTAAACAGAACTAGCACCCGGTCATATAAGAAATGAAAATGACATTTTGGCTTTAATAGGTGATGATAGAAGATCTTAAATCATATAGATGGCACTGATGAGTTCCCATTCATTTTTAGATCAATGTACCCAAGTCATTTTCAGTAGTTGATCAAAAGCTCAATGTCCCAGTTCTGATTCTCCCTCTTTCTAAAAAAAGTAAAATAAAATCCATAGATGATTCTCTATTTTATTTAGTGGATTCATGGTCCCAAACCATACTACATATCGACTTTCTTAACCTGCTTACTGGGGAATTTCCTCTCTCTTGGTTAAGAAGACTGAATCAGTTGTTGCCTCAGCAATCATCTTAATAGTGAATCTAAATACATTGAATTGCAGATAAGCTATGGATAGATTGCAATTCTATAGTGCTCAAGGCCTGATTATTACATTAGAATCTTGCTTAAACCAGCATACCCACTTTCTCCAAAAGATAAGGTTAAGTTGACAAAATCAAGTGGGGCAACTTAAAGGAGAGTCCACAGAAAGTGGTAGGGAGGTCTCTCCATGACAATGAAATATTCCAAGCGTAAGCACTAGAAAACACAGGGAATCTTGGCAGAAAAATGCACCGAGAAAACTTGGTTCGTAGAACGTGAAATTAGGTGACACAATCCAGTTATTCAATATACCTGCAGGCTGCAGAGGAGAGGTTTGGCAGCACGCACTTGTCCATACACAGGGTGCGGTGAGGCTTATCTTCAAATTGTAGCCCTACCCAGAAGAATTGTTGGGCAAAGAAAAAGACCAAGCTGACAAAGTGGAAAAAAACAAACAAAATTAAAGCATATATAAAAATAAGAAACGATATGATAAATTGATTTCTTTTTAATCCAAGCACGTGGAAAAAGCAATTTGTGATACATAAGTAGGAATATTAATTTAACTCGTTAAGAAACCAACCAAAATTCCATAAGACTTAAATTTCAATCTTTTTGTCTGCTTAGGACTTTAATTTTACTATTCAATTATTCAATTCTAAAAGACATAATTTATTTCTTATGAAAATTGAAAATTTAGCGTGTGAAAAAAGATGTTGAAGCAGTACAAGAAAGAGTAAGGATTCATTGAATTGTTATTTCTTTCATCATTAGCACTGTTCAAGCTTCTCAAAATCACACATGCAGAGCATTTCATCCACAATTTCCATTACGTGAAGAAAATGGTCCAGAAAATTGACCCATCAATCAGTTGCCTATTGAAAGTGAGGAAAATTTCTTCTTCTCGTCTGTGGTTTATCAGAATGAGTGTCCGATAACCAAAAATGATAATAATGGAACAAATTTATTAAAGATAATCTTTTAAATATTGTTATTTCAAACATTTTTAAATTAAATAATTTTTATTTCACATTTTAACTTGTTCATGCCATGTCTCACTTTTTCTTAAGTCTGAGTTTTCGCTTAAATTTAGAAATAATTCAAGACTTAAATTATAATGACGCCCCAAAAAATGCTTCTCCGTTAATACGAGGTCACCAAAACCAGACAAATGGATATGAAGACACACCAGAAGTAGCCATTCATGGTTTTGTGACTTATCCAAGTAGCTAAAAGTTGGCGAAAGAGAATCTTCTTCGTCTTCGTCTTCTTCTTCTTCTTCTTTCTCTTTTTGATCTTTTTCTTTTTTTGACAGCAACCACTCTTGTTGCCAAATAACAATGTGCTCTTGTCTCTCTCTCTCTCTCTCTATGTCTTGGCTAGTCTTTTTCTTATCTACGTTTCTGTGTATACATTTGCCCCAGAAAGAGAGGAAGAGAAGAGAAGATAGATGGAGGGTGAAGAGAAGTTCCCGGCGGCGACTTCTTTACAGTGTTACAGCTCAAGAATAATGTCACCGGAGATTGTGGAGATAGCAGAAGAAATTAGCATGATGAGTAAAAGAGAAGTATCGCAGGATGTTTATGTGGCGGTGGGAAAAGACGATTTAGATGTGGTGAAATGGGCTCTGGATCATTTGGTTTCCCCAGGAACAAAACGACTCTTTCTTCTCCATGTAAAACCGCCTTTAACTTACATCTCTACACCAGGTAACACTCATTTAATTACTTGTTTTTACTCTCTGTGATTGTTTTTGTTGTATAAGACACATATTTTATATATATACAGTGGGAAGGTTATCAAGGAATCAACTGAGCCAAGAACAAGTGGGAGTATATATCAATGAAGAGAATAACAGGAGAAGAAATATGTTGCACAAGTACATTCGAATGTGTAATGAATCAATGGTACGATGATGAATGAACCCAATTAATTCAAAGTTTAATGAACTTGTAATTTTTCTTTCTTTCTTTCTTTTGTTGACAGGTGATGGTGGATATAATGCTCCTTGAAAACAATGCAACAACTAAAGCAATTATTGATCTTATTCCTGTTCTCAACATCACAAATCTTGTCATGGGAACAAAACGTCCACCTTCTTCCAGGTACCAACTTAATCTTTCTGCTCTGCCTTTTGGTCCATGTTATCTATTAAAGTCTTTCCACAAATTATGTGGGATTAAGAAAAGTTGTCATATGCTTGCTGGGAAACAAGAATTGCAAGTTTTATCAACTTGGTTAGACCAAGAATGCTGATCATATTAGCTGTATGTATATATTACAGACGAGGAAGGAAAAAATTGCGTAAAGGAGAAGTTGTAAAGAAGAATGCGCCAGAGTACTGTGAGGTTACAATTGTTCACAATGGTAAGAAAGTTGAAGAAAATGAAGCAGGATTAGAAGAACTTGAAAGCAGTTTCTTTGACTGTATATGTTTTTCAGCAGGAAAGCTCAACTCTAATAACTGATCATGTTATATATATATATATATATATATATATATATTATATACATGAGTATTGTGTGTGTGTGTGTGTTTTCATACATATATATATATATATATATACATACATACGTATATTTGTCATTTAATATATAACCAAACCCTAAGTTGTCAAAAAAAAAAAAGGGGTAGGCTATTCTTTGCACGAATGTAACTGGCGTATATGCAAAATTAACAGATCTCATGATGTTGTATGAGAAAAAAAGATCAATGTGCAATTATAGTTTGTGATAAGTTACAAAAATATGTTGGAGAAAGATGAGATTTAATTTGATGTTGCTTATCAAAACCTAACACGGGCATGAACTAAAATTTTAAGAAAATAGGTCTACGGACATCTCTATGACACAACAAGTTCATTTACCTATTAAACTCTTAATTAATTAAGTAAAATAATACTCATCGCACATTTTCTATTCCATAAATTAAAAATTCTTGAAACAAATTTAAAAAAAAAAAAACTACCAAAAATAAAATAATAATAATAAAAAAGAACGAGAGAACATGTAAAATATTTATAATAGATGAATTAATTATTTATAGACAAAAATACCAAAAGTAGAATTGTGTTATTAAACTAGAACAAAAATTATCATTTATTAAAAAAATTTTTCATATATCACAATATACCTATGAACTTTATAATATTCAGTCACATTTTTATGTTAATTTATTATCGATTACTATATATATTTAAAAATTTTGATCAAACTATTGAGGAACGTAGGAATACTACATAATTGGTTAATAACGCTCACATATAGGAAGATTACAAATATTCACTATCATTTATTATTGATAACTATACCTCAATTCGTTATAAAAATATATTTCTAGTTGTTAAAAATTTATTATCTCAATTAGTTACGATTAATTATTGAATAGGAGTTATAAAATATTAATATATAAGAAGTGAAAGTTCTCATATTTTTTTTTTTTTTACTTGTACTCTCTCATTTTCTCGTTAATATTTTCTCCAACAGGCTTGGAACGAGTGAGACCCATTAAGATTAAATTTATGGCTATTTGTGTGTTAATCCTAATAAATTTTAAGTAATAATAAAATTATTTATAAAGTTACTTATTTTGAAGAGACTAATAGTTAAGTCATTATTAATTATCATATGTTATTAATAAATATTTTCTTTTATTAGTGGATTTGATCAGTCATCAAGAAATAATATTTATCACCTATCTTCTTTTAAGATTCTATTTCATTATTCTCACTTATTTAAAAAAAAAAAAAAAGGAGAAGAGTTGAATTTTGATTTGCTAAAGAATATTGAAAGATATGTACACAAATTAGCCAATAACTTAAACATATATTTAATTATTATCATATTTTATTTTAGAGATAATAATAAATTAAAATTAAAATTATAATTATTTATATAAAATAAAATAAAGATTTTTAAGTGTAGGCTTTCAATGTTTCACTTTGAACTTTTTGTTCATCATTCTTTTATCTTGTTTTGCATTAAAGAAAATTACTTAGTAGAATAATCTCATTCTCTTTATAAGTAGTTTCATTTCTATGTTCTATATGCAAAGGTGAAAGAGTAGTTTTTATAACTTTACAATCATACTCAAACCACAAGTAAAAAATACTAAATCAATTATTTAGTTATAAAATATATGCACCACATCATAATGATGGACCAATTATGCATGCTCAAACCACAAGTAATTAATTTTTCTTTTAAATTTAATTATTGGGATCTTCAATCTTTTCATACATTATTCTTATACTCTTATGTAATTTTTATCTTTTTTTTTTTTTTTGTTTCGAGTATAAAATTCTTCTTTAACAATATCATCAAGATTTTTTGCTTTGTTGTTGTTTTTTTGTATATGAAATCAAGTCTCTTGGTTTATTTTTTCCTTTTTGAGTAGGTTTGGGACAAAATATTGTTGAGATTAAGTAAAAATTTCCTAAATTTACTTTCTTTTAGCTACAGTTAATTTTTTTTTTCATTAATTTAATAGAAAACTTAACATAGCATATGAATTTCGTAAGAAGGCGAAATCTGATTTATAAAAAACAAAAATTCAAGAGAGGCAACTAATGGAGATTGAAAATCATATAAAATTAATGAAATTTGATGAAAATCAGGATCATTGGCCTCTTTTAATTATTCTTTTTTCATGATTGTAGAAAAAGAAAATTATTCTTCATTTTTTTTTTTTTTTAAATGACTTATCTGTTTTACAGATTTCTCCTTGCTGCCTCTTCTTTCTCTAGAACAGTACCCGCCAGGCTTAAGTGCTGGTGCATCAACCTGCAAGTGTAGGGCAAGATATTTTGGTGTTATGAATATATTTGTAGAAGTGAATTTCTACTTATTTGGGGACTAATTATCTTTCTAGACTCAAACCCTAGGTGCCTCTCACCCCGGCCCGTATTCTCTACCTTCTGCCAAGCATCTCGGTAATTGCCACCATGAACCCCTATGATCGCAGATATGCCGATCCCAACTCTTACCGCCAGCGTCGCAGGTAAGCGAATCTGCCGATTCATCCTTTCTTGATTTTTTCCATTAGCATTTTCTTAGTCTTTTGAAAATTTGTTTTCTCTCGTGGGTAATGTTGTTATCGTCGTACCGCTACAGCGATCTAGTTGGTCCACCGCCGTCGATGCCTCCACCTTCGCTGGCAGTGTGCGGTGGGATGGGCACCGCCGTCGCTGCGGTTCCTTATGGCCGTGGCGGACCGCTTCCCTACAGAGGCGGAGGCCCTCATCCTCCTTTTGCGGGAAGAGGGCCTGTACCAGCTACCGGCCACGCGTACCCGACGTTCCAGCCACCTGTTGGCGGTTTTAGCATCGGCCGTGGTGAACGTGTGGCCAATGGTCACGTTGGGGACAGGAGGGGTGGTCGCGGTGGCTTCAGCGGAAGAGGCCGTGAAGGTGTCCGAGGTTCCGAATCGGGCTCTAGAGGAAGAGAAGGATACCCTGGAGGTGGTCGAGGTGGTGGTAGAGGAGGTAGTCGTGGTGGTTCGGCGAGAGGGGAGTTGGACCGCGTGTCTCTTCCGAGGCCGGAGTTCGGGAACTTGGTTCCTTTTGAGAAGAACTTCTATGTTGAATCTCCTTCAGTTCGTGCGATGTCTGAGCATGAAGCTATGATGTACCGTGCCAAGCGGGATATTACAGTTGAAGGGCATGATGTTCCAAAGCCAATCCGCTTGTTTCAAGAAGCAAATTTTCCGGGTATTCTCTTTGCTCAAATGAATGCGTATGTGCGCCTGAATTATTGATTTAGGAGTTGTATTTTTGAGTTTATTGATGCAACTTGGTATGCTAGATTATGTTCTCGAAGTAATTGCAAAATTGGGTTTTCGTGAGCCAACACCAATTCAGGCTCAAGGATGGCCAATGGCTCTTAAGGGCAGAGATTTGATTGGCATCGCTGAGACTGGCTCTGGGAAGACATTGGCATATCTGCTACCAGCTTTGGTACACGTTAGTGCGCAGCCTCGTTTGGGTTTGTACTGGTGCTTTTATATTAATTTCAAGCTTTTATGTTTCTTTCTAGCATTTATTGATTGTAAACATTATTCTTTTTTTCGAACTATTAGTGCAAGGTGAGGGCCCTATTGTATTAGTATTAGCACCAACAAGAGAGTTGGCTGTTCAAATTCAAGAAGAAGCCGTGAAGTTTGGATTAAGAACTAATATTAAAACTACTTGTATATATGGCGGTGCTCCTAAAGGACCACAAATTCGTGATCTTAGACGAGGTGGTTTGAGTTTTCCTTTTAAAAGTTTTCCCCTTCTTTTTATGCTCACATCTATACTTTTAAATTAATGATTTCAATACTTGCCATTTTGTGTGTTTCCAGGTGTTGAAATTGTCATTGCCACCCCTGGTCGACTGATTGATATGTTGGAAGCCCAACACACAAACTTGAAAAGAGTGACTTACCTTGTGTTGGACGAGGCAGATCGAATGTTGGATATGGGATTTGAGCCTCAAATAAGGAAAGTAGTGTCTCAGGTACATCTGTTGCCTGTATTTTCATATTCTACCGTATGTTCGAGAGTTTTTAGAGAATAGTGTAGAGATATGGAAAAATTGATTGCACATTTTTAAAATTATTACTGCATATTTTTAAGATTTATTATTGCAGATTTATAGGAGTTATTATTGCATATCTTTATGATTTATTACTGTAATTTTTAGAAGTTACTGCTATTGATTATATAGTTATTTACTCCTAAAATTAAGAAGACTAAATATGGATGTAAAACTCTATAAATTTAGCATTTTGTATTTGTTGAAAATAACAAAAAATAAAGAAGAAAAAAAACTTCTTTTTCTTGTATGCGTTCATGGTATTAGAGTCAGTTCGGCTAGCTTGGTCTGAATAAATTTTTCGTTTTTAAATCCTTCTCTTTTTATCAGTTTTTTTTGTGATGGCACAAGCAGCCGTGCCTAGAACAATGAGGATAAGTGACATCAGTTCCACTACCACATCTCCTGGAAATAACGTTGGGATGTTGTTATTGTCGGGATCTGTAATCTCCAACGAAATTGAAATTTCCCTAATACAATTAACCGTTCACAAACTGAATGGAAAAAATTACTTGGAATGGGCGCAATCTATTAAGTTGGTGGTCAATGGCAAAGGCAAACTTGGCTATCTCACCGGTGAGGTGAAAAAGTCAGAAAATACAGATCCGACATGGCAGATTTGGAAGTCAAAAAACTCCCTTGTAGTGGCCTGGTTGATCAATTCCATGGAGGCTTCAATTGGGAAAACATACTTGTTTCTTCCCACTGCGAAAGGTGTGTGGGATGCTGTCCGAGAAACGTATTCAAATCTCGAAGAAAATGGGAATATAAAATCTGTTGTTGCAACACTTTCATTCAGTAAGAAACAGTTAGAACAACGGTATAGACTTTTTTAATCCACACAATTTTCTAATCCTGTACCTTCCTCTTGTTCCTTAGCTCAGAAAAGTAACTACCTTCAATCTGCCGTCTTTAATGTGTCAACTATTTCTCTTTACCCATGGATAATAGATTCAGGTGCCATGGATCACATGACAGGTTGTTTTAAATTGTTTTCTTCTTATAATCCTTGTGCATGCAATCAGAAAATTAAAATCGCCAATGACTCACTCTTAACAATTGCTGGGAAAAGGTCAATTATTATCTCTAACACTCTTGTTCTTCACAATGTTCTTCACGTTCCAAATCTTTCTTGTACTCTTTTGACTGTCAGTAAAATAACTTGAAACTTAAGATGTACTAAATTTTTTCCAAACTATTGTGAATTTCAAGATCAGGATACGGGGATGATGATTGGCAATGTTAGGGAACATGGAGGTCTCTATTACTTTGATGATGGAAATTCTTTGTGTTAGCAATTGAAATCTTCAAATCTTGGAACACGCTTTAATTCTATTAGTGATGAAATAATGGTATTGCTCTATAGGTTAGGTCATCCTAGCTTTCAATATTTAACATATTTATTTTCAAACTTGTTTCATAATAAAGATTTATCATTATTGCAACGTGAAATTTGCCACTTAGCTAAACACCATCGTGCATCATTCCCTACTCAACCATATAAACCATCTATTCCCTTTTCTCTTATTCATAGTGATGTGTGGGGACCATCTAGAACATTAACCAACTCTAGAAAAAAATAGTTTATAACATTTATTGATGATCATACACGTCTAAGTTGGACTTATCTACTTAAAGAAAAATCTGAAGCAAAATATGTTTTCAAAAATTTTTATACTATGGTTGAAACTCAACTTTAAACAAAAATTCAAATGTTTCGGAATGATAATGGAATAAATATTTCAATCAAATCTTAGAATCGTTGTTCTTAGAAAAAAAGAATTGTTCACCATAGCTTTTACAATAATACTTCTCAACAAAATGGGATAGCAGACAGAAAAAATAAGCACATTTTAGAAGTAGCTAAGTCTTTAATGTTTACTAATAATTTACCTAAATACTTATGGAGAGAAACAATTCTTACTGCTACATATTTAATCAACAAGATGCCATCAAGAGTTTTAAACTTTTAGACACCTCTAACAGTTTTCAAAAAATCATTCTCAATGTCTTGATTAACTTCAGATTTACTGTTAAGGGTCTTTGGATGTGTTGCATTCGTTCGTATACATAATCGTAACAGAATAAGTTAGATCTACGAGCAATAAAATGTGTTTTTCTAGGGTATTCTCCTATATAAAAAGGGTATAAATGTTTTGACCTACAAAAAAAAAATATTTTATCACGATGGATATTAAATTCCTTGAATCACAAAGCTTTTTTAGTCTTCATTTTTGGGGGGAGAAAGAAAATGAAGACTCGATGTTTAAAAAAGAAAATATTTTTGATAGTTAGAAAAGTAATGAAACTGCAATATTTAATTTTGATATTTTGGATAAGAAAAACATGAGACCAACCTTAGTGCCTGAACACAAAAAAGACACTAGCAAAATGAATTATACATGCTTCGATGATGAGAGGTTGTTCGGAAAAACTTACACTAAAAGAAATCTAATTCAAAGTAAGAAAGATGCAGTTATGTCTCCTCAAAGATAAGAATCTAATCCGATATCAGGATTTGAAGAATCAGGTACAATCTCTAAGTCTCTAGAACCTAAGTTTTTTCCCATTGAACAAGTACATTTTGACCCTCTAAATCTCCCTATTGCTCTTAGAAAAGGAACTCGATCATGTACTCAACACCCTTTATTAAATTTTGTATTTTATAAGAACCTGTCATCTACTTACCATACTTTTGTCTCACAGTTGTCAAGTGTGGATTTACCTAAATCTAAACAGGAAGCACTAAATTTCTAAATGGAAAAAGGCTGTTCTTGAAGAAATGGACGCTTTAGATAAGAATGGTACGTGGGAAATGACTGGTTTGCTTAAAGGAAATCTGATTGTTGGGTACAAGTGGGTTTTCACCGTAAAGTTCAACTCAGATGGATCTTTGGAACGTTATGAAGTAAAGTTAGTAGCAAAAGGATTTAGGCAGACATATGGAGTTAACTATCAGGAAACTTTTGTTCCTGTGGCCAAGTTAAATACTATTCGAGTGTTGGGGTGTTTAAGAAATTTGAGATCTAAAATATCAATGGAGTCTTTCTAACTCCCAATACACAATTTGGAGGATTGATAAATAAGAGTTTAGAATGGTTCGAGGGCTTCCAATGAATTCTAATTGGCTTTAATTTACTCTTAACAAATTCCCAAACAGTTTCGTAAATACTCTATTTTCTTTACCCTCTTTTAACTCTCAAAATAAAATTCTCAAACACTCTGTTAATATTTTCTTTTTGTTAAAATATTTATCTGCACCATTTTTGAGCACCTTGTTTAATGATGACGCTTTTACTTCTTTTAGACAAGGATAGTTATTCTTTTTGTTTTTTGTTTTGAGTATGCTTTGAAACCTTTATGTTCTCTACACTTTCGATTACGTTTCTTGTGGGGTTATTTGAATTTTCCCCTAGAGGATCCAGCTTCTCATCTCTGCAAGTATTGCTGTGTGATTTAAGGGTTTCTGGGGACTGTCATTTGGCTTCTTTGATAGGACTGTTATTGCAATTTTGGATGTCATATCTGTAGGTTGTCAACAAAACTTCCTCGTACTAAAGCTTAAGGCAAAACACACCCATATGGTAATATGATACGAGATAATAGATGGCTCTCTTGTGGATATGCATATGAAATTTGCTTGAAAATTACTTAGTATCAGTGACTTTGGTGTACATTTTGATTATTTCTGGTTTCTTTCTTTCTCTTACATCTTTCTTTTTCCAATGGCAGATTTATGATTAAGCTATCCTTTATTTCAAAAGAAAATGATTAAGCTATCCTTAATTTCTTCATATCATAGAATAACCTAGCTCATTATGCCAAAAGCCATTTTCCTGCCAAACAAATATGGAAAACAAAGGCCTCCTCTCGTGTTGCTTTCTTTGCTTGGGAGGCTTGCCAGGAAAAGATTTTAACAATTGATATGCTGAAGAGGAAGGGCTGTATTTTTGTGAATGCTTGTTATGGTTGTTTGAAGGCGGAGGAAACTTGCAACCACCTTCTTTGGTGTCCTCTTGCCGACAGATTGTGGACCTTTGTGCATGGTGTTCTGGGCATTAAGTGGGTCATTGCTGGGTTGGTGATAGGTGAGATTTGGGCTTGGGATGGTCTTAATGTTAGAAATAAATTAGATACTGCGATCCCTTTAACGGTTTTTTGGGTTTTATAGAAAAAAAGGAATCGTAGAGCTTTCAAGGGTGAGGAATGCAATTTCTCTAAGTTAAAAGGTAGATGGCTGAATTTTTTGGGTCTATTCTATTAGGTTACAACATTATTTGTGATGAGGATTTTAGGAATGTCGTTGAGTTATTAATTGTAATGAAAAATTTTTGTACATGGATGGTACCCCTGTTTTTTGTTGGTACCTGTTAATATACTGATTACTTTTTATTTTAAAAAAAAACCTAGCTCATTATATTTTATCTGAGAAAAAAGTTTTAGATCTTAAAACAGGAGGCTTTATTCCATTTTATTTTACTTTTACAGATCCGACCAGACAGGCAGACATTATACTGGAGTGCCACATGGCCAAGGGAGGTTGAATCTCTAGCAAGGCAATTTTTACGCAATCCATATAAGGTTTCTATTGAACTTTGAAATGCCCCTGAGTTTGTCTGATCCATTTATATGTTCCTTGGAACGTGCATTTGAGTTATCGATTTGTTATGATTTTTAGGTAATCATTGGATCATCAGATCTGAAAGCAAACCAATCTATTAACCAAGTTGTTGAAGTTGTAACTGACATGGAGAAGTACAATAGGTTTGTCTTTGTAACTGATGATAGAGGAAGGATGATATTTCTGGCTCCTGTTTTTTTATATATTATGCTTTTCTATTGCAGGCTGATAAATCTGCTTAGAGAAGTGATGGACGGGAGTCGAATTCTCATATTTATGGAAACAAAAAAAGGGTGTGACCAAGTTACAAGGCAGCTGAGGATGGATGGATGGCCAGCTCTGTCCATTCATGGTGATAAAAACCAGGCTGAAAGAGACTGGGTGTTGGCTGAATTTAAAAGTGGCAGGAGCCCTATAATGACGGCCACTGATGTAGCTGCAAGGGGTCTTGGTAGGAGCACTGTGTGTTAGGGGTCTTAGTCTATTTATTTAGGACTTGATGTTGTGAAGATAAGCGAGTCGCCTGGCTGCTGCCAGTTTCCTGGGAAAATAATTTGTGGTTGGGTGCAGTTTGCAAAGGAAGGTGTCATTGCTCAAAATGACTTCAACTGCAACTTCTCCTTTATTGACCCATGAGCATGATATATTAGTTGAATGGATTTAGTTGCAGGATTAAGAGGCATATTGTCTTATTTGCAGTACAGTTTCCTGTCAAACTAATCTGCTTAGATTTCATGTTACATGGACACTGGGAGCACCATTAACTTCCATATCTGAGACTGGATTTGGGAGGGAGTCCTTTATGGTACCCAGAAGGTGGTAGATCATGTAGGTCAGAAAAGGTACCTGTTTTTCAATTTCATGTCTGTGGTAAAAACTAGAATGCTGGCTTTAGGGTGGTATTTTCTGCTTCAATTGACTAGATGAGCATGGCTCCTATCACTGAGTGTCTAAGTAACATGGTCGAAGCATTGTTGCCCATCCACTGTTATGGGAGCTGGTGTTTTAATGGCAGCCTGGTTGACTCGTGTACACTTGTTGGATATGGAAGTGGTGATGGTGAAGCTGCTCCTTATCCCTGCAACATTAAGGTGGGCACATCTTCTTTATGAATGTGTTATCTTAAATTGATCGTTCAGATCGTAGGATGCAGGGATAAGGGGTTGTTTGCATTCTTGTAGGTTTGAAATTGATTGAGTTGAGCTGAGTGATGGACTGCTCAAATTGGCTCCTTCTCTCTGTTCTTTTTTTTTCCCCTTAGCAGTATGGGTTGCTAGGTTTGCTAACTTGATATTTGTGGAGTAAAAACTAAGTCAAGAAGTAGTTATTAATCTAGAATCCCATGTTCCCTTTATAAATATGATTAGTCAGTCAACTCATTGTCCTAATCTTGAGCTTAGGTTATGTGGCTTGATAACAGCTTTGCAGTGTGTTGTTTTTTGTTATGAAAATCCCAAACTGGTATTTTCTTTGGATTCCTAACTGCCCTTTTCATTTGTTGTAGATGTGAAGGACATAAAATGTGTGATCAACTATGATTTTCCATCCAGCCTTGAGGATTATGTCCATAGGATTGGTCGAACTGGTCGTGCAGGAGCTAGGGGAACTGCCTTTACCTTCTTCACACATGCCAATGCAAAGTTTGCTAGGGACCTGATCAAGATCCTACAAGAAGCAGGACAGATTGTCCCTCCAGCATTATCTGCCTTGGCTCGGTTAGGAGGTTCCAGTTTTGGAGGTAATTTGTGTCCTAATTGAATATCTAGATTTTCAAATTGAATATACTGTTCATGGCCTGCGACACTTGGATTCAACTTGCTTTTTAGGATCTGGGGGAAACTTTCGGAGCAAAGGACGAGGGGGAGGGAGTTTCGGGAACCGGGGTCTGATATCAGGATCCAATGCTGTCCCCCTTGGTGGAAAGAGGCCATGGTAGAATGTCCAATATCGAATTACAGCCACAGAGGCCAGAGTAATGTTTCATTCTCTGATGTGTCCGCTTAAAATTTTATAAATGGTACAAAAAGTTAATGTTTTAGGGAGGCAAAAATTTTAAGGTAGGCAGTGCTGGCAGTGTATTAACTTTTGACCTTAGATGCTGGTGGAGGTGCTATCTGGGAATGGGGTTTGATAGCTTCTCTATTGTACAATTGAAATCAGAAATGGAAATGGGTTCTCGAGTCACTTGCAATTCAACTTTAAATCTCACCTTGTCAATAGAGAATGTCAAAATGTTCCTTTTGCACTAATTTTTCCACATATTCATCTTTACTTCTAAAGGGGTTGTTCAAGAATAACTTTCTTTTATCTACACTTTAATAATTTACACGATTAAGGATGAAAAAGATTCATATACATATTTTCTTCTTAAAGATAGATTGGAGGATGTATAATTTTAGAAGTACTCTATTAGTTTATGTATATTAATGGAGATACTATCTATTTTATATTTTATAAATATTTTCAATAAGATCACCAATAGATTTAAAGCAAATTCAAACTTATATGCAAACATTGATATCTCTGTTTTTTTTTAAATTAAAAAAGAAAATAACATCTTCTGTAATCTTCTTTAAATTTTCTAAACCGAATTATAAAAATTAAAGTGATACCTGAAGAATTATGAAGTAAAGGTAATTTTATTTAAAATATAAATTTCGTCAATTTATAAATATTTTTTAAGTTAATTGTACCTTATTTATAATATTTAACTCAATAAAATTTAAAATTTAGTTTAGTAATATATTGATGGATTATAGTGAATAGATTGAATTTCATTTAGATATGATATTTATAGATAATTATAAATTTTATGGTAATTAAGTTATCTTAATTGAATAACCACAATGAATTAAAAAAAATACAATCTTACTCTTTTTTGTGTTCTAAGAAAAAGTTATGTCTCAAGTAAATTAAAAGATTATGTTAAATCATTTACAAATAGTAAATTTTATTAGTTTTGATAAAATCTAAAATTAATTTTCTAATTCAAAACAAGATGCAAGCATAAACGATGATCAAACTTTCCATCCCCTTTCAAGCATCATATATTTTTTTTTTCCCTTTTCTTCTATTTTTGATGTCATTTTAAAAAAAATATTATCATATTATATCAAATTAATATATTAAATTAAAATTTTTAATACGATATAATATAATATTTAGAGTTAAATACGAATATAAAAATATTCCAACAATTCAATATAAAAAAAAAGATAAAATCATCAATAAAAAAGAGTATAAAACTCTTCCATTTAAGACTATTCAGTCCTAGGGAATAGCTGGAAAACTAGTAAAGAAGAATCCTCAGGCCTTTATATGCTCCTTGAACCACGAAGCTTACGAAAAGAAAATATATAATAGATGTAGTTGGAGCATAAGATGATCATTTGATTAAACTAAAAGAATGTCAACCCGATGTCTCCATAAGAAGTTGATTTCAATGATTCTGCCTTCTGGGTCAGAATCAGTATGGCAGGTCGGAGCATGGAAAGAAAGAGTGTGGTATGATTCTTAAACGAGAACAGATTCTGTAACGTATGTTGAAGAGCCCTGGAAGGTGGGTGAGATTTTGTCCTAAAAGCTGTAGATATTAATGTCACTGAGAACCAGATAAATCTAATAAAAGTTCCTACAGCTTGCTATCAGGGTCTATTGATCTGTACAAAGGAGGAAGAAGACTCCCATAATTTCTAAGGTAATGGGCATGCGATGGCAAAGAGATTAGCAAGCATCTGGAATCCTCTTCACCACTGAAGAAGGAGATGCTTCGAAGGATGAAGGAATTAAAAAAATCCCAGCAAAGCACAAATATTGGCCTGGGAGAAAATAAAAACAGGCTTTTGCAAGTAAGAACAAGGATTTGACTCCTTCTCTAATGGAAAAATCCTTGAGGATGATACTAATTGAGGTCACATTGCAATTTCTGTTCATATTATGTTTCTTTT